TTTGGGAATGAAATCATGCTGGCTCCTTCATTATCGAATTTTTCACGCGAATATGAAGTGATCTTCGGTTTTTATCTCGCTTGTCCGTTTTTATGGTGTAGCTAATTGATAAATTTTTAGTGTAATCATAATGGCTTATCATTTGCTTAATTTCTCTGCTGAAGCTACAAGGGCTTTATGTTTCATAGGTTGGATAATTTCTTTATATGGGTCGGCTTTGAAGATGCATGATTATATTTTTTGACAGAAGTTCTTTACAATTTCATTTGAAACCAATTTTACCTCATGCTAAAAAATTGTGGCATGCTGTTACTTGGCATTGTAATCATGTAATGATACATGTTGGGACATCTTTGGTTGTGTTTTCAAATAAATCAAATTGAAAATGGTATACACATTTTGTGGGACATGTTGAAAAAATGGCCGAACGTGCCAATGTCGTAGATATCATACATATGCATATATTCATCATGTAAAATTTGATATTAATGGGCAAATATCTCTTTTGGTGCTCATTTGAGTTTGTGTTACCTCCTCACTTCTTTGCTGTTTCTTTGATCGCTAGCTGATGTTTTAACAAAAGTTCACGCGTTATTTTAGAAGTGATAAGCAATAGTGTATTTTTTTACTGTGCCTATGGAAGGGAAGTGCTTATGTCCTAAATAAAGTCCTCTGTAGTCTACATATGGAATGAATTTAATGAAACATGTAATAAACAGTAAATGAACCTTCTCAATGGAGGGACTTTAAACTAAGGGTTTCATATTCATTGTATACAGAGTCATTTGATATTTCTTACTACAATTCAGATTAAATTTTTGAAAATATAATTTTCAGTTAATAATTGAAAATGAGTTAGGGGAGTTAAACAATTACAGAAAACAATTTTTCTTTCTGTTACATTTCTGGCTCGAAGTTAATTTATTAACTTTTCACCACAGAGAACAGCTGACATGGTGAAGCTTCAAACATATGCCGGGATCAGTGTTATGGCTGCATTAGCCATGATTTATCATGGCTTTAGCAGCAGAGGCCAGTTTTACCCTGCGATGGTTTACTTGTCAACTTCAAAGATCAGTTTGCTGCTTCTTTTGAATATGGGCCTTGTTGGCATGTGCTTCATTTGGCAACTGACTAAGAAAATTTTCCTTGGCACACTCAGAGAAGCAGAAGTCGAGAGGCTGAATGAGCAGTCATGGCGGGAAGTTATGGAGATACTTTTTGCCATCACTATTTTCAGACAAGAATTTTCGGTTACATTTCTTGCCATGGTCACTGCTTTACTTCTGATTAAGTCCTTGCATTGGTTGGCCCAAAAGAGGGTCGAATATATCGAGACAACACCAACTGTCCCTAAGCTTTCTCATATCCGCATCACATCTTTTATGGGATTCCTACTTCTTATCGATAGTATTTTTCTCTATGATTCTGTCAAGTATTTGGTAGAAACAAGACAGGCTTCGGTTGCACTTTTCTTTTCATTTGAGTAAGTTTCATGGAGTAAATATATTACACTAATATCTGTTGAATTTTATGTGCTTGACATATGATATATTCAATGTTTTGGCGTACTAATTTCATAATAAAAAAAAATGTTTTTCTTTCAGGTATATTATACTGGCCATTACAACTTTGTCAACCTTTGTGAAATATATATTCCATGTCAGTGACATGCTCATGGAAGGACAATGGGAAAAGAAGGCTGTTTACACGTTTTACCTTGAGCTTATCCGTGACTTGATCCACTTGGCATTGTGCATGTGTTTTTTCCTCGTCATTTTCTTGTAAGCAACCTTTTAGCTTACATTTATTTCTTTGTTTCTCAGTGTACCCACATATGAGCTTCTTGTAAGGATTGCTTGTGTGCTTGTTCACTAAAGATTTTCTTCTAATTATTTTTTCCTTCTTCCGACATATTTTCTTAGTTTAATATATGTATCAAGCTCTTTGCACTTCCATTGCATTAGTTATATTTTATTATTTATTTGGTTCTAGGAACTATGGTGTGCCTCTTCACTTAATCAGGGAGCTGTACGAGACATTCCGTAATTTTAAGATCCGCGTGGCTGATTATATACGTTACCGCAAGATCGCATCAAACATGAACGACCGATTTCCTGATGCTAGTCCTGAAGAGCTCAATGCGTAAGCTAGATTCGACTCTGAAAACATTAAATTTTTATATATTTTCAATTCACATTTCTTATTGCCACCTATCACTGTGCAGAACTGATGCTACATGCATTATATGTCGTGAGGAGATGACTGTTGCCAAGAAACTAATTTGCGGGCACCTTTTCCACGTGCATTGCCTGAGGTCTTGGTTAGAGAGGCAAAACACGTGTCCCACATGCAGGGCACTTGTTATACCGCCTGAGAATGGGACTTCTCAAACTACTTCTGCAAGGAGTAATAGTCATCAACAAGGTATGTATGATGTGATTGTTCTAATGGAAACATCACTATTTTTTTCGACTAAACCTTGAAATTACTGTATTTGTTCTTTTAAAGTTGCATACAGTTCTTTGTAGTGTTACAAGCAGGGTAGTTGGGAAATGAATTTTAAGTAGTTAATGTTATTCTCTTCAGGGTAATGTTACTATGAGTTATACCTATATGAAGGGAGATTTTGTAAGTTTGAGGTACAAGTACAATAGCTGCTACCCATAAGGTGTTGCCTGGTTTACTAAATGATTCAAGTAATTTTGAAAATTATGAATACGATCCTTAGGTTACATTGTTATCTATGTCTTAAACTTTCATTTTTTAGTTAAGTACATTGTTTATCTAGAATATGGAGATGGGTCGGACTTTGCTTCGGAACCTTAACTTGTTTTTATTTAAATAATAGGGTTTAGGTCTCTTAGGAATCTAAAGAAATAATAAATGAGCCTTTGCTTAGACAGGAGACATCCTGATCGGCGTTCGTGCTTGGGCAGGCTTGCCTTCAATTTTTCATTTTCTTCCTATTTCTTTAAATTTCAGTTCTAATTTTCTTCCTTCATCACCCTTATTTTATCAAACATCCTCAGATCCTCTTACAGTCTTCACTGGCCGAATTATGGCAAGAAAAAAAAAAGTTTAAGGTTACATCCATGAGTGTTTCTCAGTATTACAGACCGTCCAACCTATTGTTACATCTTACAATTACATCCCTCTAGTTTTTCAAAATATTAAAAGTAACCAACAAATTTGACTTACATCTTACAATTACATCCCTCTAGTTTTTCATAATACTTACAAAAGTCATGTGGTGCAATTATAAATATTTGGTGACAATAGCAAGCTCCAATGGATCACCTGGTAGTTAGAATAATATGAAGAATGGAATCAAAATTTCAAGGGTGTTTAAAAGACGAGTGTCCTTTATGTCATTATTGCAAAATCCACTCAGCTAATGTTGCTAGTTATGACAGGAACTAGCTCAACTGATGCGTCTTCTCTAGGATCAAATGTAAATGGTGTGGCAAACAATAATGGCAGCCAGCATGAGGCTCGGCTCAAAGCAGCTGCCTCAGCCGCCGCATTATACGAGAAGTCTTTTGTTTATCCTACTCCAAATGCTCTAATGTGGTATGCACCTTTTCATTACTTTTTTTAATAATAAAATATTGTCCTAGGTTTTGTACCTTATTAGCTTCTTGTTTCTTAATCATGAAATGAAAAGGAATTTGTTTGACATGATTGCGATGTATTTTTCTTTCAATATGGGATGTCTGGAGATGATAATAGCATCTGATAAATTTTGAGGTTTATGGGTGGCTTAATACTGCTTTTGTAGTAAGTTAAGATAGTTTAATTTTTTATTTTTTATTTATTTATTTTTTTTTAAGCAGAATAGGCTATATTTTAAGTTTGGTTTATAATGACTTTGCAACATATTGTCTTCACGCAGGTCGCCTGGACATGTCTTACCTCATCAAACTAGTGTTCAAGGGCAATTTGGAGAAGGAAGTGCATCAGATTCTCAACTGGATTTGCAAACTAAAATAATTAAGCATCAGATTGAGGTATTTTTCTTTGGCTAATCTAGTTACTCTTTTATTTTTCTCCATCAATTTCTCAAACTGCACCACTATGCATTACGGTGTATTTCCTTTGGTATTTAAGCTGGTCTTTTATAATGCTTAGGGAAGTATCAGTTATTTCTAGCATTGTTTAATTTGAACTTGCCTAAGCTTATTTAATCTCACATTTTCTTGCAGGAGTCATTGTCACTGCTTCTAATCTAACATTTTCTTACAATTTGGTTACTACTTTCATGACTGCAATTGTTTCTACATTTACTTACGCAACATCTACATTTTTATTTACTAGCTTCTGCAAAACCAGCTCCAGATTTTACAGAACTCAAACGAGAAGAAATCTGCTGACATGGATTCCTCAGATATCAAGGGGAAGTCGATATCATCTCCCTCGTCATCTTTAGTCGACTCGAGTGAGATTTAGAAACCAAAACCCACTAATGAAATGACTCTGAATATATGTTGCTCCAAAATGAGTATAAAAGCATCGGGACATCAAAATGAAGTTTAATTCATGACAATGTAAGCTTTTGCTAACTGTGAAAATGAGTTGTGTGTTCAGTTTTGAAGAGTGGAGGAACAAAACACAAAATCAATCCATATAGTTTTACTTTTAGAATCCAGTTGACAAATAGATATATTCCAAACTCTACTTGTACCGATACAGAAGTTTGGATTTTTCTGTATATGAGATTGAAGTGTCACCTTGTTCCAGATGGTGAATATATGACAAGATTTCAGAAGAAAATTGGGGCTTCTATTTTCAGTTTTTTTCACTTCTTTTGTTAAGGCATAATGTGCCTATAGGGTTTCTTGTCAAAATTGAGAATTTGTTTTGATGAACAATGGCATGCCAGCATGGTAGTAATAAAATGCAGGTGTAGAAAATGCCTGTTTATTCTCATATGGGTAAAATTCAGAAGGGCTTTTGATTTGGGCTTAGTAAATTACTGGGCTAGGCCCATCAGGATGAACACGAGCGGAATTGGGTCAACATCAGTGGTTTCACTGATTGGACAGAAATATGGCAGTGCATGGGAGTCTGGGACAGATAACATGATGTGATATTGTGGGGCCCATCTCTTGAATGCAACTTTTGTACTGAAAGTTGTACAATTAAATAAATAAATATATAATTTTAAATAGTTATTAATTAATCTGTAAAATAGATATTGTAACAGATGTTAGAACTTAGAAGTACAAGGCCTGAGATTAGAGGAACTGATGAGGTACATGATTTACTTGATGTAATTATTGATTGTGTTCTCGTTTAATACAACTAAAATTATCAACGTATATTGTGTGGGGTGGTTGTTAGGGAGTGTATTAGTGATGTTTTTTCAATAACATGAATATTTAAATTTTATATTTTAGAAAAAGGGTAGACTAACAAAAGATTTGAGCCGGCTCAAATACAATAGGGTAGACTAACATATGATTTGAGCCGGCTCAAAATTTTTCTAAGTACAATATTCTTAACTTGTTAATTTACGTAATTTGAATAAAATACATCATATTTGAATATTACATTTTAAATTTTGAACTGTTTATATTTCTATCTAATTCTAATAAAATGTCCCAATCTTCCTCTTTTACCGCTTTTATTTAGTTTTTCTTTTTTTTCCTTTCTGTTCTTGAAAATCAGACGGCATATATGCTCTCATGTTTCAAACTAGCTACATAGAAGCTTTTATTTACTGTGTATTAAATTTAAACAGTGACATTCTTTGCGCCGAGTTAATATTATACTCAATTTTATATAATTAAAAGGTTGCAATGCTGAATAGGTGAAGAATTTCAGAATTAGAAATCTCTATTCTTTCCCTTTTGATAGAATTAGTCAATAGAGTTGTGAGACTGAGACAACATTATCCTAGTAATGATTATTTATTATAGTGGGAAGATATTCATCTTCTTTTGATACTTTTCAGGATTGATGGTAAAAATCTTTTGATTTTATATGATGAGATGTTGCAATAAACCAAATGAGGTCAAAAGGGAAATAAGATTATAAATGTAGTGATATTTTAAAGTTTTAAGGTGATAATTTATTTTTTCATTTTGTAATTTACTGAGGAGCAACTATTAGTAATCTAACATACTCACATGTGGTTTGTAAGTAGACAAATGTTTTTTTAGAAAATGGATTGTCTGCTTGGTCTATTTTATATATTTTGAAAGAGGATAAAAAAACACGTGAAGATTGGAGGACAATTTACATAGAGATATATTTTGGAAGAGGATAAAATACATGTGAAGATGCGAGGCCAATTTACATGGCTATATTTGATAAATGACTGAAAAATTAGGTTGTGTTTTGTATATTAAATATCTCAATTTATATTCAAAATCTAATATAACTTTAATTCAACTCCACTATTCTCAATATAATTAATATAATTAAATAATACCAACCTATATTCTTACACATGTACATCACATCAATTTTAATTTACTACTAGTATGACACCCATGCACTACACGGGTGCATGAAAAAAATAATTTGAACAAAAAAGTAAAAGAGTTTAGTCATTGTAAGAATATAAAAATAAATAAATGTAATTGTAAAACAACTACGTACATTGATATTTTATTTCAAATTCTCAAAAATTTCTTTGCACACAACATTATTAGTTCTCTTTTATATTTTTTTTTCATCCTTGTTGCAGCACAAAACTTAAAGCCTGCCCGTTCTTAACGCTAGATATGACGACATATAGTTGTTCATGATTGAAAATAGATTTTGGTAGAAACAGGCCAACGTTAGATAATTTTAATATGAGAAACAATACATGTCTATCCACAACACAAATCATCATAGTTTGCCCCACTCGTAAACAACAGACACGAATTCGCCATTATTAGAATATAATACCACTTGTGAATTGTCCCACATCGTTTATACAGGAAAAATAGACCCAACTTATAAGACTAGTGGACTACTCCTCCTTTCACCAATTAGTTTTGGGATGAAACCTCACTTGGGCTTCATCTGGGCTTTCCCTGGTATGTTGCGCTTCATCTACGTGGGACCGCACCCGTTCTACCCCCGATTCTCACTGCCATGTTCTTTTTTTGTAGTAATTCCAACCATAGTATTGAACGATGTTGTCAATTATTTTGCATGATGTGTACTCTCTCACCAGCTCAGATAAAAAATAATAGTACAAGCGGTTAAGATATTAGTCACTTTAAAAAACGAATAGGAAAAAATAATGTGTCAACATGAATTTTGTAATATTATTATTAAAACAAAGAATAAAAAAATATAAATTACCACAACTAAATGAATTATAGTATCATGGGCAAATCACCCAAATTTAGGCATTCGATTTTATTTTATATTATGTTCAAATCATGTTACGAATTATGTTGAAGTTTTTGAAGCGTGAAGAAAGGTATTAATTACCACATAGGTAAAATCATTCGACATATTTGATGAATCAAGGTCTAAATAATAAAATATGATATGCATATATTGGTTTTAAGAATGATACAAGTTGAATAAGTGTACAAAATTATGATATAAAAATTGAGAAAATGCACCGTGTACAGCTAACACCATCTCTATATATTTGTGCCACTAATTATAATGGAAAAGGATTGAGATTTATTGGTTTTTTTCATGGATCAAAGATGAAATGGGATCTTCTTTAATATTATTGGGCATAATATTATAAAGATATGAAGGTATTCGGTTGCTCAAGTTAAGAAGATAATGGACAAAAATAAATGGGAATTACCCAGTTAGATAAAAAAAAAATATTTATAGATCATACCAGCCTAACTTCAAACGTTACAGAAGGAGAGCGAGTTGTTTCGATTCCTTTGGTGAAGGGGTTTTTATTCTCGGTTGAGGGGCTTGTGTTGAATACTGATTTGTAGTGGCGTTTCTGAGGGGGTTAATTTTCTAGGGTTAATACGCAGGCTATGGAGTCGAAGAAGGAGAGCGAGTTTGGGAATGAAGTGATGGAAAAGTTACAGAAATGTTCGTTATCTGAGAAGGAAGCGGGATATAGAGATTAAAGATGATGACATCAAATCCAGTGAAGAGGAATGTGGGAGAAGTTTGTTTGGCAAGGTGGTGGGTGACAGAAGAGCAGAGATGTTAGGGATTAAACGAACAATGGGCATTATCTGGAAAATTAAACAATCCATGGCGGTCAAGGAACTAAGTGCTAATTTTTTCCAATTCATTTTCAACTCAAAATGAGGATAAGAAGAAAGTTGCTTCAGGTACAAATTGGCTGTTCGAAAACCAATACCTTATTCTTTCAGAATGGATTCCAGGGCTTAATTGTAATCATGAATGTTTTGATGAATTGAAACTTTGGGTGCAAGTCTATAACGTTCCATTGAATTGGATGAGTACAAAGGTAGGCATTAAAATAGGAAGGGTTTTCAAAGATGTCAAGAATGCTATTATATGTAAAGCAGGAGGGGATATGGGCAACTATATCAAACTTCTTGTGGTTGTAAACTTGCATGAACCTATTCCTAGATGTACTAATGTTAGTTTTGGCTCTCAAAGGGTGATGGTGACTTTTCAGTATGAGAGACTTGTTAATATTTGTTATTATTGTGGGAGAATTGGGCATTTGGATAGGGATTGCCAGATAAGACTGACTGATTTTGAAAATAAAAATCTATCTGAAGGGGAATATGGTGAGTGGATTAAAGCTAAGGAATCTATCCCCATAGGCAGAAGCAGTTTCTCCCTCAGTTTAGGGGTTAAGGTCAGTGACCAGCAGCTGAGTTCCAAACTGGGCTCTAATGTTTCAGCCAGTGATCAGCACATTTCTAGTAGACCAGCAGACAAAGAAGCACAATCTTGTGGGGAGGAAACTATACAAGCTCAGAATCTGGAAAAGTTGGGGGATGAGATGCAAATTATTTTAACAGAGTTTGTGGAAGTTCCAGTGTTAGCAGCTTCTGAAACTCACATTCCCTCTAACTCTAGTATCAAAGGGAAAGATCAAGAGATCATAGGGGAAGGAAGTCAGAATAAATGTGAAGGATCTTCAGTCACTCATGATGTTGCTACACCTAGTAACAGGGGAACATGGAAGAGAACTCAGTCAGCTTCAAGGAGATTGAACAAAAAAGACAAAGAACAGAAGGCTGAGAAGGGTATTATGTGAAGGGAGGTAGAGAACCAGAGGCATTGCAGAATACAATGGAAGAATAAGAGAAGGGTACTTCCATGCTCAATAAGAAAGCAAAGCTAGAAATCCAGAAGGTGGAGAAAGCCAGCCTCAAGTGGCCCCACAGTGATCAATGAGAGCTATGGTGTGGAACTGTAGAGGGCTGGGTGGGTCCTCTGCAGTTTCTCAGATCAATGATTCAAGAAGAATCCACCACCCTAATATAATTTTTCTTTCTGAAACTAAAAAAAAAAAGTGGATTTTACTAGACTGTTTGTAGGAAGTTGGGGTTTGAGGATATATGGTATTTGGAGGCTCCAGTGGAAACTAGAGGGGGTCTTTTGCTGAGTGTGGGATATAAATACAGATATTAAGTCGGTTGTTGGCAATGAATTCTGTTTGCAGGTGGAAATGTAAGGGCATGGGATGATGGATTGGGTTTGGGTGATATTTTGTGTACCTTAGTACTGACAGGGGTGTTAGAAGGGATCAATGGGGCTTTTTGATAGATAGGCAAAGGGAATGGGAAATAATTGGGTGTTGGCTGGGGACTGGAATGATATCACTTGCAATGAAGAAAAGATGAGGGGGGGGG